ATCATTACATGGGTTGTGACTTCTACTTCATGGTACCTGATTAGTTTTATTTATTCTCTACCATTAAGAAGGCAATTTGCCTTGTATGCATGTTATGTATTTCATGCTGGCAATAAAGCTTTTAAACTAGCATTGTTTTTTTTTTTCAAGCATTGCAAAATTGGAAAGGAAATTGAGAAGGGCTAGAAAACAGGAAACAGGAAAGTTTCATGTGGGTTCAAATTCAGCATGGTAATTAATAAATGGTAAATCAGGATACAGATCCAAAACCAGCTTCATAAGTAGAAAAAAGGAATGGCAGAATTTTGTGTAGTCCAGGGATAATAAAAAAAAATGCTTCATGCACAGGTTGTGATGCGCATGTGGCTTGATTGGGCTTGTTGAAATTGGCAGAACAATGCTATAAATAGTTTTGGTTCTTTAAGGGACTGAACAGTTACTGTTTATTTCTTGATGCATTGCCCCAAGAAATTTTCAAACCAAAATTGTAGGAAATTTAGCTTTCTTCTTTTTTATATATTACATTTTTGCTTTAACATTATATTTTGTTGTTGTGACTTGCAGAGCTGTGATGCAATGTCCATATTTCTGTAGAATCTATTGTTTTAACAATGACTTTTATACACCCTTTATCAGTGGTGGGATTCAAATATGTGAACAACCGGTTCTCTGTGTGGATGCCACTTCTGGAAGTCCATTGTGGACCTGGGCAACAAAAAATTAGCTACCCGTTCTGCCGAAGTGGTGCGAACTGGATGAATCCCACCACTGCCCTTTATACAAGGATAGGACATGACAGAATATATTCTGTTAGTTGTGTTCCCTCCCAGTCATGCCCTTTTCACTTCCCTGAACATAGTGGAGTTCTGAGTATTCAAAATGTATACACATGCAAATAACGTCAAAGAGAAAGAATCCTTAAAGAGAACTCTTATCCATCTGCATTGGACCAGGCAAGTGATGACACATACTTTGTGATTCAAACTCTGCTCTCATCTAGTGTGCAATGTCATGCAGGAAATACAAAAGGATGGAACTTACATCATGACATTGCTCTTTTATTTCTTTAAGCATCTCATAAAACTGACACTGGATAACATACAGAGGATTAAAACCAACAAACTATAATGCATCCATAGAAACCAATATAATAATCCATGCAGATCATCCTGGTCTTTAATGCCTTACAAAAGACCAGGGGAATCAGGACTCATATTGGGGAGAGGGGACACTGTTCCATAGGTAAGCACCACAATAGATGATATTTAAGGAATCTACAGCATGCCAAACCTCCCAGTTCTTGCTTTAAAACCAGAAATTACCAAGGCAGATAGCTCCCCACTATCATGACCCCCATGCCATAAATGTTTTATAAGTAATAATCAGTGACTTGAATTGTACCCTTAGTCAATACAGCTTGTGAAATAGAGGTGTCACAAGGCCGTTTCATGAAGTGCCCAATGCAGTCCACACTGCTGCATTTTGAACCAGCTGCAGCTTCCAAATGCTATTTAAGGATAGCCCTATGTAGACTTTGTTATGATAATCCACTCAGTAAGTAACTAAAGCATGAATTACCATAAGTTGGGTCCCCTAGTCCAGGTGTAATTGGTGCATAAGGTGAACCTGTACAAAACCCTAATTATAGGTGTCTCCTGCTTTTTGAATGTGTCCAAAAGAATCCCCGAGTTATGCACCAACCATGGGGCATGCTACCCCATTGAGAAATAAAGATGGAAGGTCACTGAAGTCAGAAAACCTGCAATCACTTAATCTTACCAGAGTTGAGCTGAAGCCTTAAATATGATGCACGTTTCATCATTTTGGCACCATTGTGGTTAAAAATAGATGCCCATGCCTCTGCAACATTCAGCCTCCTTTATCCTCTTGTCTTTGTTTTGCTTTCAAATCAAAAACTCCACAGGGTGCCTAAGTTAGTTTCTATCCCCAAATTGCTAATGAAACCTGATTGAAATGAATCTAGAAAATCAGTTTTCTCAGGAGACTAGTAGATAAAGGAAGCAAAAGATACAGTCACTCTTATTTTATTCTCCATTTGAAGAGAGCCAAAGATATATAGAAACTGTCCACCTAGAACGACCTAATCAAACTGCTCCTACAGTTGGCTTACCTTGCAAGAAGCAACAGGAATGTTTTGTTCTTTCCAGGGAGCATCTGGAATTTATCAAATGTTCATTTGGTGGGTTTTTGGTTTTTTTTAAAAAAAAGGGGGGGGGGCGAGAATGGCTACTAGCAACAGTAGGATGTGTCTAAAATGCCATGAGAAAAATAAAAGGAACTGAGATGGCTGAGCTCTATAAAAAAAAGAAGTGCAAAGAACAGTGTTACAGATGAAGAAAAAGGTAGATATCAAGTAGGAATTGGTTGGGTGGCAGCACAAAATATTTTGGAAAGGCCTATAATTCGAGATGTAAGAAGAGCTGGTTATAGCTTAAGTAGTAGTGCTTAATATTGTAGAGTTCTTGGTGCCCTTTATGCTTAGTTGTTTGAAGATGTTGCCCAACATCATGACAGCAGCCAGAGAACACCAAGAACTCCAGAAGAGAATCCTGAGCTGCATACACAGTGTTTAAAAGTTTGTGGGTTCTTTTATTTACAATATTTCTGCATAAATTTGAGCTAAATTGTGATATGTTCTCCATACATATCTAGATATCTAAATAAAGACAATCTAATTAAAAAAACCAAGTAAATATTATTTAAACCAAGTAAACCAAGTAAATATTATTTTTAAAAAGGTCAAGTTCATGTGTAACTTGTGAACATAACATGCAAATGCAGTCTACTGGGGGAACAGTTCTATCAAAAGGTCTTCAATCAAACAGTTGTACAGACATTTATATGATTCCAGGTTTGTGAATGACCCCGTTTCCTGGCTATATTGACATCTATTATGATATTTTCTCTTGGCTGCCGTATATATTTAATTTCGTTCTGCATCCTGTCCTGCTCTTTTTTATTTGAGTCATTCGTTTAAGATGGTGGCTATAGAAATTGAATAAATAAACAAACAAATTCCCACCCTGCAAGTATTCTATGTACTTCATAAATTGATTTAAAAAATGGGACAAAACAGATTTAGGCCTTAACAAATAAGAAACTAAGAAATCAAAAATGATACTCATGCCCATCTCTCTCTTTATAAATACAGATACAATTTTTCTGAGGAGTCCTTGATGCTCTCTGAGTTTGCTTGTTTTCTTGCAGACATTTCATTATCCTAACTAGGTAGCATCAGTGCTACTAAGGAGTGCTGTTTGCTGTCAGTTCATATTCTGATGTTTGCCTGTCTGGGTGGTGGGGGCAGTCTTAGCAATTCTTTGGTTGAGCTGTTCTTGATTAGGGTATTGCTTATTTGATTGTTGGTCTGAAGTTGACCTTGGAGTTAATCTATGCTGATCTGAGTGCTGATTACTGGTGGAGAAGTGCTAGAGCAGGGGTCTTCAAACTTGGCCCTTTTATGACTTGTAGACTTCAACTACCAGAATTTGCTGGCTGAGGAATTCTGGGAGTTGAAGACCACAAGTCATAAAAGGGCCAAGTTTGAAAACCCCTGTGCTAGAGTCTTTTTCTCTTTTGGGCTAGTTGATTGTCTCTTTTGCATAGTCCATAGATGTTATTAATGTCTATGTGTCTATTGATGGCTGATTTATCAGAGTGCCAGGCTTCTAGAAATTCCCTGGCGTTTTTGGATTTGGCCTGGTATAGGATTGTCACATTTTTCCCAATTGAAACTATTTTGATTTTTCTCTCATGGCCATTCTATAACCAAGTTTTGATTTATATTTCATTGATGCTCATAATACATTTGTTAACAAAATTTTGTGTAAAAGTAACATTAGCTTGTTTGAACAAGAGTATTTTATTGCAGATAATTTCTCATTTCTGTTACTTATATCTCTTAGAAGTTTTATTAGTCTCTTTTTAAATAGATTTTGATTAAAGTACATTATCTGCTTTCATGTTTCAGTCTGCTTTCTCATTCAGGCAAATTTAAAGAAATAGCAGATATCAACATTTTTTCAGTCTAGTTACTCATGAACATAGATGAATTTAGAGGGCACTCTAGTGGTAGACTTGCTCAAGCACAAGATTTCACAATGTTTTTATTATTCATGGCATTTATTAATTTCTCCCAGCTAAGTGGATTTAAGATTGCAATCTTTAAAAAGCTAATAATTTATTTCACTCAACTTGTATTAGTCAACAGTTTATAGAACTCTGCCCTCTTGGCATAATTTCTGTTATTCTGCAACATGGAACTAATGAAAGTTATTGCTGTTAGGAAATGGAAGCTAGCAGTCTGTATGTTATATTCTCCTACAACAGTGACTCCAAGAGGATACTCCTAATATACACACTGCCATCAGTTGATATGAGTAAAGTACTATTTGGCTAAAAATGCAAGTATGAAAATAATTATCTTGACCAAAGGATAAATCTGCTGGAACAGGCCAAGGCCATCTTAATCTGACATTTAGTTCTGGGGTGCTTTTAAGCAGGAAGTGCAGACTTTGCCTTCTCATACTGTTTCTCTCCTGAACTGACACATTGCTCCCATCCCAGAGGTAACACTGATTCCCAAGCGTTTGATAAACCTGCCGTCCATGAATTTATCTAATTCTCCTTTAAAGCCATCCACATGAGTAATCAACACCATGTCTTGTGGTAATTAACTCTACAACTCTAATTTTTCACAACTGTATTTTGTGAAAAAATACTTTTTGTCAGTTCCTAATTTCTTTTTGTTCAGCTTTATTGGATGATCCCAGATTATACTGTTTTGAGAGAATGAAAAAAAGTCTCCTTTCTCCTTGGTATATATGATTTTATATTTAATACTTTAGTCATGTCTGCTTCAGTCACCTTTTACCATAGTAAAGAGCTCCAGACATTTTTAGCTTTTTCTCATAGGGAAGGCTCTCAAGCCCCTTTCTGCACTTAATTAAGCTGTGTTATTATTGGTTTATTTATTTTAGATTTATGCAGGATTTACAAGCAGAAGTACAAGAAATGGAATTCAATCAGTTTTCCAAAGGTCTGACCTTCATGAGAAAGGAAGATTTTGTAGAGTGGTTGCTGTATTTCACTGATGAAGAAAATAATGAAATTTATTGGCAAAATGTGAAAAAGAGAATCCAAGCAGGAGAGGTTGGTATAACTTACCTCATCTTGAATTAACCATCTATAATATAACTGAAGAGCTTTCTAAACTACAACAATATAATGCAATACAATATAATCAAGTTATTTTGTTTGTTTATACATAATTATATAGTAATTTGACAAATTCCTTATGAATACCCTTGGATTTTGCTGTCTTGACTAAACATCTCACCCGTTTTGGTATTTCAGAGTATCAGCATGGATGAATTTAAGACTTTCTGCCAATTTACAAATCATTTAGAAGATTTTTCAATTGCCCTGAAAATGTTTACTGTAGCCAGCCGTCCTGTTAAACGGGGTAAGAAGTGCATCATTTCATCGTTCTTCATGAAATCAAAATGAAAACATAATGTCCATGGATTCTGAAAATGTCCCCATTATGTCAGTTTTGCTTTATAAAGTTATTTTGAACTCAATGCATTCATTATATGTTAGTCCCTCACTATGTATTATGACAGCTACGAGATGACAAATCACCATCTCTTAGCACACAGAAAAGGAATTTGTAGAAATTGTTTCTAAATGGAAAAACAAATGCTACTTGATTTTTAACTGGAATCTCAGTAGTGGCAACGTCACCTTGGCTTTGTCTAGAGTCAGAAGCTAAAAACATCAGGTCTGGTGAGGTCCTGGAAAGAAGAAAACAATGCCAAGACTTTTCTACATGGCTGCCAAGAAAAATATATGGATGTGTCTATGAAGTAACCAAGAGTTTTGGAGGGTTTTTAAAAAATTATTGGAAGATGCTCCCTTTCGTTTTTTTTTAAGATGAACTGTGGTAAAATATATTAAAAAAATTATTTAACAAATACAGTACCGTGTGCTTTGCTGCCATGCTAGAATAATAGTAGAACTGAGGTATGAAGATCAGTTTCAGTCCAAATCATCCATTCAATTTAGACGATCAGTCCAGTTGAGCAATTTGAGTTGATTCAGAAAATTTAGTCAATGGATGTTTTCTCAATTAATTAGGGAAAAATAGCTCTTGAGCATGAACAAAGCTATTCCAAGTTGTTGATCCGATTTGGAAAACAGAATAAATAACATTACCTTTAAAACAAAACTTGCAATCAAAGCTTTCTAAAAACTCTATTTAGAATCTTCATTTTGACCCCTCCTAAAAAAAGGAACTAAAAAAGAACATTTAAGAGCCCTTACAAAGATCCACAATTTTTACTGTATAAAACAAATATTTACACAGTGTGCCTAGTTGTATATAGATTTTCTCTACCAAAAACTAAGTATATTTCTTCTTTTGTTTTTAAAATCTCTTTAAAAAAGAAGTGACAAACTGGAATGCATATATGAAGTATAGTATGTGAAATAGCATTTATAAACCTTACTACAAAGCTGAACCTTTAACAAGTAAACATGGGATCAATTTGCTGCTGCCATTTATGTAAATAAGAAATTATAAGACAATAGAATCCAAAAATGAACAACATCTTTGGCTTGCTTTATAATGCTGTTTTCCCTCATCATCTGTTGTTGATCTGTTGCTAGTATAGAACTGTTATATCCTTTTAAAAATGCGTAAAACCTCCATTTGATATGGATTGATTTTTTAAAATTACATTGCATTTTGGTTAAATGTTATTCCCCCCCCCCAACTTCTATATATTTTCATAAAGCATGGTTGTAATGAGTGACTTTCTATTGCAGTTAGTATAGGGCCATACAAGACAAAGGCAAGGCAAAGCAAACTCAAGAAAATTTTAATTATAGATTGAGTTCATAAATCTTTTAGAGTACATATACTCAAGAAAAAAACTATTCCTTCAGAAATATAAAAGGAGTTACGATATTCCAGGTAAAATATTATAATTTATTTTTATTTATTTTTTTGTTTACTGGGCAAATTTCTGTGCTCGAAAAGCAGATTCAGATAAAAAACTAGCTGGTTCCACTTCTGTAAAAGTAGAAATAATATTTCTTCAGTAAATACAGTGCTACACAGCTGTTTAAGCATGGCCATGGACACAGGCTTTCTGATCACACTATTAATTAAATGAGTGTAAAGTTCTCAGCTTCCTTTATTCTTTAGATTTATAAATCTAGTTATTATTTTTAATAGAAACATGAAATATCTTTGCTTCTGTTAGCGGAATTCAAGAGAGCTGTGAAAGTGGCTACAGGACAGGAGCTCTCAGATAATGTTTTGGACACCATCTTCAAGATCTTTGATTTAGATGGAGATAATTGCCTCAGCCATGCAGAGTTCCTTGGAGTTCTCAAAAACAGGATGCATCGTGGATTAAGGGTAATAGTTCTCTCAAATGTTCAGTAGAGATGTCTAATTGTCTCACTGTTTTAATGAAGTAGGGAAACAACACAGAGAGCTTATATGATCTAATAGAATTTTTTAATTTATCAACTTTATAAATATGCATTTATAAAACAAAAGTTTATCGTATTAAAACAAGCAGTTTATAATAGGGGTTAGCTGGTATGCAAATTGTTTAATGCAACTGAATCTATCATCTCTCTTTGAACAACCTAGTCTGGACATCCATACAATATGCTGTGTTGAGGTTCTGCCACAATCTCTTGTGCTACTGTTATGTGTGTGGACGGATGAATAGATAGACAGACAGACAGAGATACATATAGAACAGGGGTAGTCAACCTTGGCTCTTTTATGACTTGTGGACTTCAATTCCCAGAATTCCTGAGCCAGCTTAGCTGGCTCAGGAATTCTGGGAATTGAAGTCCACATAAAAGAGCCAAGGTTGACTACCCCTGATATAGAACATAGAATAATAGAGTTGGAAGAGACCTTGGAGGTTTTCTAATCCAACTTCCTGCTCAAACAGGAGTTTCTATACCATTTCAGACAAATGGTTATCCAGTTTATTTTTGAAGGCCTCCAGATTATCTAAATATGTAAATATTTCCTTGGGATCACTGGCAGCCACCCCCAAATCAAAAGATACTTCATTCATGCTACTAATCCCAAAGCTTCTAATGGTGGTAATGAGTATAAAAATAAAAGAAACTAGATAACTGTGTACTCAAAGCATTTTTAAATGATGGCTTATGCCAAATACATGCCCTACAAAAAGAAATAAAGGAATGGGGAAGGAAGACAAAAATAAACAAATTCAAATTTTAGCTCTTACTACAAAATAATTAAATGGCTAAATGGAATAACCAAGTAACAGATCGTGCCAGTTTGCCCAACAAAGGTGAATTTGCTGCCCAGCAGCTTCCAATGACAAAAAATACTTGTGGTTGTGACAGGTTCATTTATAGATGATTAACCAGGACACAGTAATGTGTCCTGCGATCAGGCAAATATGTTTGGACCAGTAGGAATGGTTGACAGATCGCTTTAATCATTTTATAATAAAACAGGGCAGATAGATGGATCTGATTAGCTGACTTTACTGGATGTAGCAAATCTTAAAAATTATAACATATATAGATTGGTAACTGCTGCTTATTTAAACAGGTGCCTCAGCAACAAGGAGTCCAAGGTTACTGGAAATGTGTGAAACGAGAAACCATTAAAGGAGCAAAAGAAGTTTGGAAGCAAACCGGGAAGAGTCCTTTTTAAATGTATTCGTAAGATCATTTGTGACTCAGCTTTCTGATTTTGCTTTGTTTGTCATGTATTTGTTTACAGATTGGCTATACTAGGTGCAATCATTTAATACAATGAAATATCGGACACTTCTATTATTTGACTTTGATAGGGGTGGGCATGAAAAAGAAAATGTATTTTGTATTTTGGAATCATTCAGAGGTGCTGCAATTTGGTAGAACTAAAACCCCCAAAGCACTTTTGGTTCTTCTGCATTTTAGCTGAAACAAAAATTGGGAGGAGCTTTCTGAGCTTGCCTCTCTTTCCCTCCTCTGCCACATGGCCCACCTGTTGTTCTTCCCAACCCTTCCTATTCCCTGCCCTTAACTGCTGATGTCCTTGACTTCAGTAACGACATAGCCACTAGTACAAACCACTACCTTCCTTTCCTTACTTTGCCACCACCATTTCCATCATGGCTGGCTTCAAATGCAGCCTACGCAATTGATCCCTCCTAACTCTCCCTTTCCCTACCTTTCTCTGCAACCTCTTTGCCTTTTCCTGCCCTCCCTCTGTCTCTCCTCAAAGCATTTATCTTGTAAAGATGCTAGTTTTGATCCTGAGGCTGACAACCTGAAACTAGTTCTTCCATGCATAGAACACTTTGCACATCCCTCTAGCAATAGAATTCGCGTTAAGGTTATTTTAGATTGTACTCATTTTTTCACAAATGGATACTGTTTTCCAGCTGACCTGGAATTTAGTACAGATAGTCATCGATTTATGACCAAAATTGAGCCCAAAGTTTCCATGGCTAAGCAAGACAGTTGTTAAGTGAATTGTGTCCATTTTACAACTTTTTTTGCCACAGTTGTTAAATGAATCACTGCAGTTGTTCAGTGAATCATGTGATTCTTAAATGAATCTGGTTTCCCCATTGACTTCGCTTGTTGGAAGCCAGCTGGGAAGATTACAAATGGTGATCACATGCCAGTTGCCAAGTGCCCAAATTTTGATCATGGGGATGCTAAAAGGGGTTATAAATGTGAAAACAGGTTGTAAGTCAATTTTTTCAGTGCCGTTGTAACTCTGAATACTTACTAAACAAATAGTTGTAAGTCAGGAAATGGGAAGATCCCCATTTTTAAGAATTAAAGGAAAGAAAAGTATGAAAAATGCAACAATAGAATGCAATGCAATGGAATTTTAAAAGTTTTTGAGCTTTAAATATCTAATATAAATTCTAGGTAGGCAATTAGTCAGCAAAAGGTATTCTTGGAGCACAGTACCTTATAGGCATTTGAAAACATTTTTGCATTTGAAGACATGTTTTTATTACGTTCTTCATATATTTTGTATTTTGTTCTGTTTGCACAGGAGTTTGCATCTTTCACTGTAAGCTGGAAATACCAAAATGTTTACATAAGCTGGAAGAGTGTCAATTGCACAAGTGTAGAAAGATTAGAGGCTAAACACAATGAAATCATTAAAGAAAATGAATGTTAGCATATATAGGTATTGTATATTGATTTACTTACTGTCAAGTTCCATCAGATTCATTTTAAATTCCTGACAGCTCTCTGTAATAATTGCTTGACTTGAGATATGAATGAATATTAATAGCATATTGTACTTCTAGTATAGTATATTGGTTAAAGGCTCGACTAGGAGCAAGGAAGTCCTCATTCAGTTTTAAAGTTTACTGGGCAACTTTGGGCCAATCACTTTTACCCAAGCCAGCCATTTTCATAGGAGAGTTGCAGTGTTGTTAAAATGACGGAGGATTCATCACCTCTCAGAGCAAAGAGAGGAACATACATGTTGACGTGACTGTTTTTCATTCCAGTAATTTTCCTGAGGCTGGTCATGAAAAATTCATTTTTAAAAGCATGCATCTACATTAGTTATGTTTTCTGCCTGACTGCCACAGAATAAAGTTTAGTTTTCAAACATGGCTGCCTTTAGAGATTAATCAAGCAAGGAGTGAGTTATTGCTGTATCTTTTTGCTACTACAGTCCAGATATTGTAGTTTTAATTTTTTTTACCCAAACATTTCTCTATGCAATAGATTGCATATTAGATTCTCCCCACAAATACTATACTATACTAATACTATACTGTGATTACTATGATTAAAAACATAACAAAAAATTGTACCAAAGTGCATGGCTAAATGCCAATGGAGATTCTCAATCACCCAGTCCATAATTTGGGACAACCATAATCTGGATGAATGAGAATCTCCATAGACATACTAGATATTGTTCACCAGAAATATTTAGATTTCTAGATAATTGGTTCTGTAACATCAAATCATTATTCTATACTTGGATCTTAGGAACTCCACTGGGGTCATTCAAACAATGTTCTTTATTCAAACAGTTAAATATTTTGGTTATGGGAACCTTGAAGAGTAAACACTTCAGAAATTTGAATGCATTCAAGTTAAATCCTAAGATAATTGTTCCTGGCGGTGAATGTCTTAAATCATTCTAAAGGAATTGGAAAATATTAAAGTGGACTGGCAGCTGAAATGGATGCAAAAAACATTCTTGGACTCTACTGTGTTTCCCCAAAAGTAAGACCTGGTCTTACTTTCTTTTGGGCTCTGAAGTAAGCACTAGGATTTATTTTCGGGGAGGGCTTACTTTTTATTGGTACCGGTAGGCTACAAGCATGCGAGGGTGGAGCAGGGCTTGTGCAGGGGGTAGAGAAGCAACATGACGGTGAGAGCGTTTGTGGGGGGAGGGGAAAGGTTAATCAATTCCAACTTCTTGCAAAAAAAAATTGCGTGAAGTTAGAATTGATTGACCTGTTTCCCCACACACACACACACACACACACACACAAACTTACTAAACTTACTTTGTTTCCCTGCACGCGGTGGCAGCGGATCATGAAGGAGAAACGGCATGGGGCTGGGAGTCAGGTAAGGAAAGACATGGGTGCTGACGGCAGGACACCCGCCCGCTTTACCACCCTCCCTCCCCAAGCCTTCGGCACTCCACCTGCCACCTCAGCGCCCTTCCCGACACTATCCAGCATGGCCACCTGGGGCTGCAGGGACTGGCCTGGCCCAGGAAGGGCACACACGCCACCCACCCTGGTACTGTACCTGGTTTGCCACCACACTCTCACTGTCCTGTTGCCTCACCACCTTCCCTTCCCAAGCTTCCAGCGCTCCACCTGCCACCTCGGCACCCTTCCCGCTGCTGCCCAGCACAGGCGCCCCAGGGATGCACTCGGAGCCTCCAGGAGCTGCAGGGATCTGTGCACGCCCTTTTTGCGCCACTGTTTTCAGCTGCACTTTGGGGGGGGTCTATTCCCATTTGCAGTATGGCTGCTGTCCAATCACCATGCCGCCTCTTAGGAGGACAGCATCAGCTGCCAATGCAGCGGCGGGGAAGACAGAAGGCTATCCCACCCACCAGATCAGCCTGGCAGGGGTGGGATGGGAAAATGAGCAGTGTAAAAAGCAGCGCTCGGAGCCTCCAGGAGCTGCAGGGAATCGGGTATGCCCTTTGCAGTCCTCCTGCAATGCACAGCCTCTCCCTGTAAGCAATCTGGCTCACCCAGGATCAGGTTGGCTGTAGCGGGAGGCTCGTCCCGCATGTGTGGCGGAGCTGGAGGATGGGGACAGGCCACGCCTCCTGCAAGGGCCAACCTGACCCTGGATGAGTCAGATTGCTTTAGCTGCAAGGAGCCTGGGCTAAGGTTTCTGAAGTTGATGGGAACTGTAGCCCGTCACAGCTGAACAATTTAGCTGAGCCACAAAATTGAACTCGCAGTGGTAGCACCAGCAGCAGGTAAGGTGGAAGGAGGCACGCAATCTGGCCTGCCAAAAAAGCTACAGTGGGACGGAGTGGCTGGGGTTAAGTGGGGCTTACTTTTTGGGGTAGGGCTTATATTAGCCTGAACCCCCAAAAATAAGCTAGGTATTATTTTATGGCTAGGTCGTATTTTCAGGGAAACATGATATATATTAAGATGTGTCATGTCTCCCTCCGAGCCTGACTCTGAGGATGACATGGAGTTCCCTGTTGAGGCCCAGGAGGGGGTGTCTGCGGCTTCGGAGGACTGTGGGGAGGAACAGGCTGAAGCAGGCCAGGGCCCTTCGAGTTTGGAACAGGGAAGGCAGAGCTCAGGTGAGGAGCAAGGCCCTCCCCCCAGATCCCAGAACAAGGAGAGCAGAGAGGAGGAGGGAACAACGGAGGCAGGCTCACTTGCTCGGGAGGAGAGCATCACGCCCCACTCCACAAGGCACACCTGGGGAGTAGGTATTTAAGGAAATGCTGTGGGGTGGGGCATTTGCCGGGAACAAACTTGAACTCTTGTGATGTGAGCTCTTGTACCTGGACTCTTTGTATTTTGGATCAAGTTTGTTTCCTGCTGAGTTCTCCTTGCTGTCCTCAGTTTTGCAGTTTGCAGGTTACAGGCAAGCTGGGCATTGAAAAGATCATACTTTCTTTGTTATCTGTTTTACTTTAAAGAACTGTTTAACTCCATTGACTGTTTTATTGAACTTGTGCCAGCATATGTGGGGGCTGTTGGGTGAATGTTGGCAGTGCTTACAAAGACAATTATTCTGACCAGCTAATTGCTTTTCCTCCATTCGGGGCCCTGGGTCATCACAAGATGCATCAAAATTCACAATAATGATAGTCTATGATCCCAAAATTGCTGAATTGTGGAACTTATTCTTAAGTAAACACATGGGGTTATGTTGAAAGTATATTGACAGCAATTATATTATCATAATACTTAAATAGATTTTGCTGATTCTGTAATATATTTGTTCCTATAAAGCCAATGAACTGAACTGAAACTGAAGGAAAAATAACTGTACAATTACTGTGTGCTACTTTGGATAAATAATCCTTTGCATATTTGCTAACTGTTGCTATGATCCCATTTTGTTCTGCAGGCAAGAATATTAACGTTAGAATACAACAATATTTGTAATTAAGATAACATTTAATTGTATTCATTTTGCATTTTCCAGGGGTTAATACAATTTGACTGTTGCTTTGGCTACTTCTAAATATTGGTGTTGATTCTTATCCTGATTTTTTTTACTTCTTTTTTTAAAAAAAAACCTTTATACCTGATTGTGATTTATTCAGCTGGTCATAAAAAATATTGGAGAATGGTTATTTGTTAAATATTGTTGCCTACTCATTGTCACAGAGAAAAAGCAGATCTAAAATCTAGTGTTTAACATTTAGATAAGTAAAGTATAGACCATTTCTATGTTTTCCTATAATGTAATAGCACTAGCTAAATGTAACATTGGGGAGAAATGATTGCAATGATGGTGATGAAAAATTGGCCATATCGGAAAATGTTGTACTATCTGTAAGTAATTAAATTAGTAAGGCAGGAGCAGCAATTTGAAGCCCAAAAGAACCATTATGTTAGACCAAGTGCCTCCAAAGAGAATGATCATATTTAGGATTTATAGGATTGGGGCATAGGCCTATAGAGAGAGATTTTATTGACTTTTTGTATTACAGTGGACAAATCTGCTTCATTCTTGTCTTCAAAAAAGATATTTGAATAAGCCAATTTGTGAATAGGAGTTAAGTGTCTGTAAAACCAAGAGTTACAGCCATGCTATAAATATTTTTGGTGATGCCTGATACTACTTGGATGCTAATAGAGAGGAACAAAATAGATGTTTCTATTTTGGAAGGCTACAAACCTCAATGGATTTCTGGATTTGAAATAACTTTAGGATTCAGAACATTTCCGGACTGATAATGCTGAAAACATTTGGATACCTCTACAGAGAACTATGATTACTTGAAATGTACTGCCACCTTGTTACTTTTCAGGAAGGCCCTGATTCTGTCAGCAGGCCTGGGAACTCCAGTCTGATAGACAACCAATCAAGTGCCTACTGTGATTATACCTGTTGCAGCCATGGAATGGTGGTCCTGGAGTTTTAAGATGTGAATTTTTAAATCTCCAGGAGTCACCATTGTGAGTTGTACTGCCATATAAATTTATTAAATGAATAGATGTAACTAATCTTGTTACATTACTATTCATGGTTCTGTCTTGCTTAATTATCATTCTGGGATATCTTCAATAGAAAATTATATATAGCTTTGAATGCAGAAATCACAATGATAAGAATGAAGAATGCAATTGTTGGCATAAAAATGTGATACACATAATAAAAAAATCATTTTCCCATATTTCTCCATGTACACACACACACACATTATCTACAGCAGACATGTCAAACTCGCGACATCACATGACGTTGCGCAATATATCAGGAAGGTTTTGCCATTGCCATCAATGGGGTGGGCGCGGCTTCTGCGTGATGCATCCGGCCCGCAGGCTGGCAGTTTGACGCCCCTGATCTACAGCATCGCTTCTTCCTTTATTTGCTAAGTTCAAATGTAATATCTTACAGTAGAGCCATTTCTGCAAGACTGTGGTAAGTATATGTACTTACATGATCAATCCCACCAGTAGCATTACTACTGTTTCAGCATAGTCTAAACTTGAAATTCCAAACGTTTATAAGTTTATCTTAATATTTCTACAATAGCAATGTAAAATAGAATCAGAATCTGAGCTGGAAGGGACCTGCAGGTGACCCTATACCATTTCAGACAAGTGGCTGTCCAGTCTCTTCCTAAAAACCTCCACAAGCACTCACAACGTCTGAAAGCAAGCTATTCCAGTGGTTAATTGTTCTCACTGTTAGGAAGTTTCTCCTTAATTCCAGGTTGCTTCTCTCCTTGATTAGTTTCCATCCATTGTTTCTTGTCCTACCCTCTGGTGCTTTGGAAAATAAATTTATCCCCTCTTCTTCTTGGCAGCCTCTCAAATATGGCAATACTGCTATCATGTCCCTCCCAGTCTACCTTTTCTCTAGACTAGCCAAACCCAAATCCTGCAACCGTTCTTCATATGTTTTAGTTTAGAAATACACACTTATAGGTTTATGGTTTGAATAAGCAAGTGTTCCAACTTCAGGTTTCCAGATTAATAGTATCTATGGTTATTGTTCCTAATGTTAATTTCTCAATGTAAATACTAAGACATCATTACAGGTACTCTTTGACTTATGACTTAGTGACCATTCAAATTTACTGAGGGGCTATATATGACCCAGATTCTAAGTTCTGACCACACAGACATGTGACTGAACTTCAGGTGCTTGGCAACCAGGCCATATTTACAGCCATTTACAGCATCCCGCAGCCACACAACTGCATTTTATGGCACTTTCGGATTTTGGCAAAACCACACTTGTAGCCCAGCATTGATTTGCTTAATTACCATGAAGTTTGCTTAACAGCCTCTGCACAAGAAGTTGTAAAATTTTAAAAATTTACAACATGATTTACAACCATGGTGGGCAGGCTCCATTATGGTCATAAATCAAGAACTATCTGTACTACAAAAGGACTAGATTTAGTTATCATCTAATAAACTTTTTATTCATGGCATTATCCTTGGCAGATATACAAACAATGGAACATGGAGAAGACAGAACATGGAATATTCGGAACATGAATCCAAGCCAATCTGTAGAATTTTATTTGACTGCTATCCAGGCCTCCTTTTGAAACCTGGTAGAACATTCTCTCCTAGATCAATTCTAATGGGAAGCACGGATGTTGTATTTGAGACTAGCTGCAGTATCTATAGCAGGGGTGTCAAACTTGCAACGTCACGTGATGTATCACGACGTATCGCAACTTTTTTGCCATTGCCAGCAATGGGGTGGGCACGGTTTCGCTATGATGCATCCAGCCCATGGGCCAGCAGTTTGACACCCCTGAGGCTGGTCATCCAACATGTGTTTTCAGTTACAATCCTCATGATTTTCAGTCAGTGTGACTCATGCTAGGATTTGTACTTCAACCTATCTGAATCTGGCATCAAACTAGGAAAAATATTATTAAAATGTGGACAAGACGGCAGGCTTTCATTTTCTAGGAACAGGCTGAGCTAATATACTGGGCATAGTTGGGAAAAAATTATTTTTCTCAGTCAATACCTGAAAATCAACAACAGATGCCAAGAATATGTCCTCCCTCATAAGCTTCCAGGTACATTTAAATAATATTTCATTGAATTCAGGATTATGTAATGCAACTGTAGAGACATAGTGACTTCATAAATAACTCACGGTAAGTACAAATCATTTTTACATTGTGCATTAACGCGAGTAAAAAGCTGACAGTGGAGGAAACCCATCAGATCCCTACACTGGTGTCTTAGTCTAGATTTTGATTGCCAGCAAGACAAAAGTTGAAAAGGAGAGTAGACAGAGGAGAAATGGGCAAACTCAAGATAGTGAGATACAATTTTTTCCACAGTTTATTGTAGTTGTTTTGATGTATGTCTTTACTGAATCTTGTCAAGTAAAGTCCTAAATATTTCATTGGATCCTTTGTTATCTGGGCAGTCAGATTCAAGAAAATTTCTTCCTCAGAAGTTAAGTGCCTTGCTATTACTTTGCTTTCTTTTCATTGATTTTATAGCTGAAAAAGCAACCAAAATCTTTATTTTCATCATTTGAAAGATAAAATTAATCTACCCAAACAATATCATGGGCTTACTAGATATTCAGCTGGAATTGGAAAGTATAAGGAAGTATAAATAGTATTTTTATATAATAAAACCTAACATAAAAAGGCAGACAATTAATGACAAACATGGTTGAAATACTATACCTCCAGAAAATGGGAACTATATTCCTCCAGGCCCAAAGGCCCAGGGTAAAGATCCAGTTATTAACCATCTTCCTAAAGACCTAGAGGGTGAAAGATATGCTGTATATCAAAAGGAAGTCTGATCCAAAGGCCAAAGCCACCATAGAAAATACATACTTCCTAAGTTTTAAGAATAACACTGTTTCAAGGACTTGACCCAGAGTGTTCCTTTTCTGTTGGGGCATTTGAGGCAAGCAAATCTTAAGTATATGTCTATATTTGAAAATAAATAACAAACTCCCACAAGAGGGAGCCCTGTTTCATCTTCCTTGTTAATTCATATTTGCAAAGATTAAATTGACCATTTCTAAAATAAGAATGAGAAACTGCTACATTACTTTCATAATTCTAGCCCATAGGCACTGACCAAGGCATATATAAATAGAGTTTGATATAATATTGGTTTAAATAAAATAGAAACTGAAATCCTAAAACCCTTTGGATTATTAAATAGGTCTAATTTTCTCTCTTCTGGGCCTTGTCCTTTTGGATCTTTTTGGTATTGATAACAACCTTAACCAAAGCAATGAGTTTTTAAGCATACCTACAACATGCTTACAGTGGGATTTTGCATATGGATATCTTTTAGGAACCTTGAACATTGCTGTTTCTTAGGTTGCTGAAAAGATGCTCAGAAGTAGACATGGGTAATGAATGATATTGCAGGCCCTTGGCTCGAGCATGTATATTTTCCCAGGATCCTACAACTATTCCACAGACCCAGAAAAAGATACAGCTTATTGAAGGAGATGTCAACATACGTAATGTGTACAGCCATATAGCATAGTATACCCCTACTTTGCAAGATGGAAATGTTGACCAATATTATGAGCACATAATTCAAGGTGAGCACATACTGAGAAAATAGACACTCTTTATATAGCTCTTAAAAATACTACAACAGGTTGTAAATTTCCATTAATCCAGTCTGCCAAGATATCACCTAGCTGATCAATAACAAGAAAATCTTGCTCAACCACATTTTATAAGAGGAGCTTGTCTCATCCTTCAGTAATAGCACTGCAGATGATGCCAAAAGAAAGTAACAATAAATGAATATTTATGGAAAGATGTCTGAGTTTGTAAGCTCAGTAGAGTCACTATACTAGCATCCTTCTGACACTCAGTTTTTACTTGAACAAATGTATTGACAATTTTAAAATTAATGAACCAAATTTATCCTAGCTAAATAAACACAACAAGAAGTGAGAGATGAAGCAAGATGGTGATCTATAGCAGTTAACCTCAGTGCACCCCAAGAAGTACTGGTAAAATTTATCTTGATTAAATAATCAATCCACAGAATTGACTTGACAAATTCTGGGAGTGGAAGTCCACACATCTTAGTTACTAAGATTGAGGAACTGTGCAAAAGAATATCCTTGACATTATAATGGGATGGAGTTTTAAAAGTATTGTGATTACGAATAATATTGCTTTACATTCCAAATAAAATGTACAAGTCTTCCAGTTCTACATAAATATGAACAAAATAATTTAAAATTAGCATAACTAATTGGGACCATCATAACATTTACCATAGCAATAATAAAATAAGATTTTTACTAAAATGATTCAAAAGGTTAAAGTGAAATTATTTATCTTGGTGCCTTTTCTGAAAGCAAGGGGTGGAGAATTGATGCAGTACAAACAGAACACACTTTATTATTTGAATATGATACCTTAGTTAACTTATATCATTGATTTAGTAAACCGCAATGGCTGTAAGCTGCTTGGATCACCACTTTGTCTCAAGTTCTAAGCCCCCCAAATGGGTTGTTTTGTATTTAATTTTATGAAACGCAGTAATCAGTTGTTATAAGACCCAACATTTATTTTGATATCAGGCCCAACATAGTGCAAATATAATACAGAGTTTTATTATTCATCATTCACTAATGTTACAGACTTTCATCAGTAGATGTCTGTTCTACATCTTATTGGATTAATTATGAAGATGAAGCTTAATAACATCTTTGTAGTTCATACAGATGAATTAAATCTTTCGTGTGTTGCGAAACAAAAAGGGTAACCTAGTTTCTACCAAAAGGCCTTTGCTTTCATATACAGTAGCTGACTGATGTACCAGTTTAAAAGCAGCAGATGAGATGGCTTCATTTTGGCATGTTTGAATGACATACCTTACTCTGTACTTTCTGACCAATTGTGACTGCAGAGGCACAAGGCAAAACAGCCACAGAACTAGGTTGGTTTCCAAACCAGCACTGACCTCCAAATGCTTCACTCTGCCTAACTGTAGGACTGGCTACCAGCACTTCTGACAAATCCAGGTTTGAGAAAAATGATACTTTACATCAGTGTTTCCCAAACTTGACAATTTTAAGGCATGAGGACTTCAACTCCCAGAATTCCACAGCCAGCAACGCTGGTTGTGGAATTCTGGGAGTTGAAGTCCACATGCCTTAAAATTGTCAAGTTTGGGAAACACTGCTTTACATGTTTACTTTCTGTCACACCCACTCTGCCTACCTAAAGGTAAACTGGCATAACTCTAAACCTAACTCCTGCCAACTTCATGAAGTATCCAAATAAGTTTTCTTGGCAACTTCACAAGAAAAATGGGAGGGGAGAAATGCTATTTATGCCACGTGGGGTTCATGGATGAAAGGCAGGAGATTTTTATTTTCCTATTTCCTAAAAGAGCATACAGCCCTAGGAGCGGGTCTACCATTTGAGCATCACCCAGATCTGATCTTCTGAACTGTCAAGCCACGTCCAAGTAGGCATTGCCATCCGCTGAGACCTCGCGCTTTTGCCACGTTCACAAATCAAGGTAGACAGCGAGGTGACCACCTCGGAACATTGCCGAACAGCTTGCCCTTTCTTTTCCCGGATGTTCCTTCGACAATTCAGTCTAGATTCTAGCCTAAAACCCTACAATTCCCAAGGGAACCACTCGGGATTAACACACTTTATTATTCGAATGTGATACATTAGGTAATTTAAATCAGTTTAGCTCCAGGAATCAGCCAAGTTCGATCTTTCACCCTGCCTATGACTTCTGTCCCGAACTACTTAAGCTCGCTTATCTAGGAACACCCTTTCGAGGACGGCGCTAGAGTCGTTTTCCCCCAGGTGGGATCCAATGGTCGAGTTGAGGGAAGACGAAAGCGACCCCAGCTATTGGTGATCCCACCCTTCGGCCAATCCCCACAGGGATGGCGTCCGAGAACCTCTGAACTACCCGCCGCAACCGGCCAGGCATCGCAGAGGAGCGTGCGGTCGTGGGGAAGGGCTGCTTGGGCGACTTGGGTATACATGAGAGAGCGGCCGGGAGGTAAACGGAGCTCCTGTGAAGACGGAGGAGAGGCGGGTAGAAGGTCCCCGCCCCACACACTCCCGCAGTCTTAACCGCTGGGCGCTGCTACCCGCCGTTTCTTCCTTTACGCTCGCCGAGCTTCCTTCTCCCTCCTCGGTAGTCGCTGCGCAAGGCAGGCGCGCCCAGGCCCTGCCCCCTTAGCGTAAGGCAAGGAAGGGCGGGGGCCGGCGGGAGGCTTCACCGCAGCGGCGAGCGGAGAAGCGGCGGCGAGAGCGGCTGCAGCACCGATGGCTCCTGCGGGCGGTAGCGGCAGCTCAGCGACGGGGAAGATGGCGCCGTCGCACGTCCTCAAGTGCTGCCAGAGGGTGCTGGCTTGGGTGCCCGTGGTCTTCATCGCCCTGGTCGTGGCCTGGTCCTATTACGCCTACGTGGTGGAGCTCTGTGTGTGTAAGTAAGCCGTCGAGGTTTCGCTGCCGCCCTGCCGGGGAGATTCCAACTGCCCGAAGGCGGAGGAAGCTGCCCCATAATCGGGGAGAGCGCACCTTCGCTGGGTTGCTTTCAAAGGCAAGATCCGCGGAAAGGGAGCGGTGGTCTCCATCCCCAAATTACTTTATCGGTTTTCCGGCTTCTTGGCTTCCTCCTTCTTGCGCAAAAGTCCAGGGGTGATTCATTCTCAAAGGTTTGGGGAGAACCTGTTGCCTGCCGCCTCTCTTTCTCTCAGCCCCAAGAAAAACCACTTTTGAAAAAGCTTGCCAAAAATACTGCAGACTTGTTGAGGCAGTCTGCGAGAATTGGACACGGTTGAACGGGAAGGAGGGGGGAAACCTCGTGTTTAAGACTACTCCTGGGCATTTGCCTTAATCTGGGAGAATTAGCAATCCATCCTCGTGTTGTCAAATCTGGACAGAGTCTCTTTTGAATCCTTCATGTGGATCAGAGCTTGCGGTTTAAGGAGAGGAATTGAAATGAGGCAAGTCACTCTTTGATTAAGTACAAACAGGGTGTTGTAAGAGCAAAATGCCTCTTATGTAGCCTTATCTAGAAGTACATCTTTCTTTTCCAGTGGGGTTTATTCCAAGAAAAGTGTTTGTGGCATTGCCAAGTGTTTGTTTTCTCTCAATATGGGCATTAAATCCTTTTAGGGTTCTTTTTTCATACTGAGACTGGGGATGCGGATTGATAACAGAGGTGTGCTGTTGTGTTGCAGTTCATTTTGGGACTGTTAAAATCCTTGAACAGTCCTTTTTTTGTTTTTGTTTCAAAAAAATATGTACTCCATATTTAATGTCTTGTATTCCTGATGCAACTTTAAGTCTACATTCAGAAATGAGAAAATAATGTGAAAGTCCACTCTGTAGTTGATTCTTTACACTCTTGTTGGATGAATTATGAGCCTGTCACTCAGATATGAGAATACAAATGTTTTGACTAATGATAAAATGTACTGGCAAGACCTTTAAGTAGACAAAATTTGAGCCCCAAAAGGTGATTGGGAAGAGAAATAATTTAGTGCAGTGTTTCTCAATCTTGGCAACTTTAAAACAAATGGACTACAACTCCCAGAATTCCCTGAGAAACACTGCTTTAGTGTATCTGTACAGTAATGCTTCCCTGTGTTTCTTTGTATATTGCTCATTAAATTGTAACACAGAACTGGTTCCTCTCATGTTGGTCTAGAAGAGTTATCTTTAATTAATCCTTCATTTGTTAAAAGGTTTAGGGCCCATTCCAAATAAAATTAAAAATACAAAAATAATTTGAGTAGATAGTAGATTTGATTTGTATGGTAAAGCAAATGCAGATGAAATCCTTAATTTCTATTTTTATGAAGTAATTAAAAGTGACTGCTGAAGATCATAACAATGAAAACTGTAATGCATGCATATCAACTTGGGGGAGAAATCCAACTGGGTTCAATAAATCCTATTTCTAAGAGTAAATATGGATTGCAGATTTAGTTATATTATTCACTTAACCAGGGTAATTCAAAAAAATGAAAGGATAGTAGTAACTAGTTTCACCGCCCTTAATCAAATATCAGTTAATCATAACTAACCAATAGCACACGGTAACTCCATTCTTAACTGAAGGTGACATAGGACTATAGCACTTATTTTAAGAAAATCAGAGGTAGATTTTTAAAAAAATGATCTATATTTTACTAAAACTATCTGATTAGAATGTTCATGAGCAAAACAGTACAACATGATAGATATTTCCAACATTCCCTGACAGCTTCCCACGTGTCAGTGGGGAATCCTGCAGGAAACACAAACTCAATTGCAATTCCCCACACACCATAAGCAAAATCTTTATTGGTAAGACGTTTCCTCAGAGTGATGTCAATTGGGAAGCCGGTAGGGGTCCCTCACACATGCAACCTCCCTAGCCCTCTATACTTGTGCCTCTCTGTTCATTTGTACACTCCAGAGCACTCTTCCTGACCCGATCTGCACTTCTGTGCACCCTCCCCAATCCTTATTGCATGTCTTGCACATCTCCACTTGCCCTTCTCCACTCTTGCACACTTCTTGCACTCTTTTCCACCCATGCTTCAGCCTTGCATTCTCTCCTCAATCTGTGCAGCACCTCTCACACACCCCAGTCCACCTTCCAGACCCATGCTGTACTCCTATGGGACTCTACAACTCATGCTGCATTTGTTATGCACACTTGCACACCCTTCCTGACCTGCACCATGCTCTCTCCATCAAAGACTGGACCTTTCACACACCCTCATGCACACTTCTCAACCCATGTAGCATGTATTATTTTTTATTAAGTCAGTGAGGAAGCTGATATGAGGTTTAAACTGGGTGGGTGGATGGATGGATGGATGGATGGATGGAAGGAAGGAAGGAAGGAAGGAAGGAAGGAAGGAAGGAAGGAAGGAAGGAAGGAAGGTTGCTTCTTGCTGGTTTTCCACTAGGAACAGAGAAGTAGACAGACACCTGGAAACTACTCCCACTCCCATTGATTTTCTTGCCCACTATGGTCATTCTGTTTCTCTGTTTAGGTAAAGAAATACTTCTGCAATAATGACCCAACAGGTTACGGATTGCCTAGTAGGTACTAAAATGTACGGTTCCTAAGCAAAGCTGTAGTTCCTTGTAGTTTCAGTATAAATCTTGAAATAGTTCAAAGGTTTGTCTCATTTTGAACGCCATTAATGGTTAGTTTCTAAATACCATCTCTTAGCATCAATTCTTCAGCTCTGCAAAATGATTCTAACTTCAAATGTAGTAGTTCTACATAGTTATCCAAAAGGGACATTGTTCTAAACACGGGATAGATCTTATATAACGGCTTCTTGACTTATTCTTCCATGTTTTGATCTGTCAGTTTTGGACAGAAATGTTTCACATCCAAGGTGTACATGTTCTAGACCTATAATTTGTATCCTTTTGCTGAAAACATTAGAAAGAAATAATGCTTTGGTTCTGCAAGGTTACAGATTGCATATAGAATTTGTTCATTAAGCTTTCAATATACTGTATGTGGCTAGATGAAAATGTTGAAGCTGGAAATAGAGGAGCATTCTCCCTATGTTCAACCTTGACGCATTGATGCTGTTTTTTTCAGTTTCTTCATGCATTGAGCATTCTGTGATTTTAACAACTGAACTAGGCTAGTATGCTCTGGACTTTAAAGCATGAATATACCCCTGAAGTCACCAGGACTCAGGCTTTTATAAAAGTGATTTTCTTTTGCATGATGATTGATTTACAGTTGTAGCAATTTACATATACCAGGTAGCTTCCTAGAAGAATATACAGTGAAGGGGTTGGTGAGTATGCAGATGTCTTCTAATTATGTGCTAATATTTATAACACTTTCAGGAATCTCTTGGCAGAGTTCCTGAAGTATTGATTTAGGCCAGTGGTTCTCAACCTTTTTAATGCTGCGACCCCCCCCAACCGGTCATAAGTCGAGGACTACTCAACCGGTTGTAAGTTGAGGACTACTCAACTGGTGCAGCACCATTTGCAGAATGGGACTTTTGGCGGGCTCAGCAGGGCAGAGACAGCCTGGACAATTCCTATTGGCTTTTGAAAGCCAATAGAATTAGACTCTATTCAAGAGAGGCTATTCTATTGGCTTTCAAAAGCCAATAGAATAAAAGGGAGTAGCACAGCTAAGGAAAAGGGGGGAAAAAATGGCGGACTGCATTGTTTGGCGACCCCCGTGAAATGGTCGTTCGACTCCAAATGGGGTCCCGACCCACAGGTTGAGAACCACTGATTTAGGCACATTTTAAAGAGTGATCTGATTCTTCATACCAATGCACAGAAATCAATAGCTTGGAATAACTTTTATATTTTCTTTTTTACTTTTTTCATACATAGATTCTGTATGCAGAAAACTCTGAACAATTGTTATCTAAGCCATGTTCAGACACAGTGGTGGCGCAGCAGTTAGAGTGCAGTACTGCAGGCCACTTTAGCTGACTGTGTTCAGCAGGTCAGCGGTTCAAATCTCACCGGCTCAAGGTTGACTCAGCCCTCCATCCTTCCGGGGTAGGTAAAATGAGGACCCAGATTGTTGGGGGCAATGTAAATATATATATATATACATTGCTTACTGGTGTACACCGCTTAGAGAGTGCTTGCACTTAAAGCAGTATATAAGTCTCATAAATAAATAAATAAATATGTGATCTAACATATTTCTCAGTTTCTGCAAACATTTTATGATTTTTCAAAATGATTTTCTGATATCATCTAAAATAGGAATATGTAAATTAAAGTCTATATAGAAACCAAAGTATTAAAGCAGGATCTGATTCTAGATTTGAGATTTCGTGGATGATTAAATCTAGCCTGTAATATATTACTTGTGCAAAACATTTTGCATACCCAGTTCCAATTAGTTTGTAATAGGTATATGGGTAAGATGTGGTTCCATTCTTGGCAGCATAAATTTAATAAAAATGTATTCCATTAACCTCAGGAAACTAGCATATGGTTGGTCAAGACTGATTGACCTGAATGTTACTGAAAAGACTTCAAACTGGCCTGAATTTGATAAGAAGAGTCCACAGTAGATATTGTTTTTATTTATCCACAATTTGATTGCAAATTCTACAATAGGTGCATAAAATTTTAATCTTATTATTACATAGAAAGCACTGTCTACATTTATGGTACTAGAGAAGACTTCTTAAGTAAAACTACCCTTATCCTTGCCCTCATGGGTTTTTTTGGATTACATTTTGCGCTAAGGAAGACAACAGAAAGAGATATCATATGAATAGCCCTGGATAAATGTGAGTAACCAATATTAAATTTTGTCGCAATAAGCAGAGGGAAGGTACAGTAGTATAAAATATATGAGTGGAAATTAATATTTGATGTAATCATTTTTACCATATGTACAAATGCCTTCTCCAATCTAGTGCTTCAAAATTTGTTGAGACAACTCTCAAAATTCACATGCCATATACCTAC